CCAAACAAATTTATACATGTGCCTCCACACGTAATAGTTGAGTGCATAATTAGAACAAAAATGTTATTATTAGCACGTTTTGTAGGCAGCATTTTTGTTCACCCCCATAACTATTTCATCAATGACTTTGGCTTTTGGTTTGGTGGCAACCTTCACCTTCCTCTCTCTTACACCTTCTTTTCTCTTCTTTTTCTTCTAGTTCATCCTTCTTCACCTATATTCTAAGTTTTCATTTCACTTGGTTTATGATATTAAGGTTTGTTGTTTTTTACTTTGTTAGTGATGTCTATCCCATGATCGACAACAATAGCAGCTCCTCATGCTAGGCAATTGTGCTCATTTGATTCAACTATTGTTTGCCATTGTAATAATTTCATAAACTCACTACGAGTCTATGAGTTTGTTGTGTTATACGGTCTCACTTACAAAAAAAAAATTTATATGCTAACTATAGGCTAGTTTTGTTGTCTAGCTATGAGGGAGTTTTCTGAAATGTGCTTTTGGTATAGATTTGTTATATTATGTCGGTTTGCAGTTGATCTATATATTAATGACCCGTGTTAGTTTCGTGGCGAATCATGAATTTTATTGTGTTAGTTTGGATGATTCTCTGCAAAGCATGTAAGCTTTGTGTTTAGATCCGTTTTGGAGGTTATGTTGGGATTGGTCATTGAAGAAGGTTTACGCATATTTTGTGATATATTTGCTCTTTGTTGGGATGTCTTTACAATTAAGTTGAAAATGTTAATTTTTCAAGTTGTAGTGTTTGAACACATAATCTTTTTTGAAATTTTTTTTTCATTTGAATAAAACTAAAAAAAGAAAAGAAAAATCCTAAAAATTGGAGCTTTATTTGATTGAAAATTAAAGGTTTAAATGTCAAAGGGGTTCTTGTGTTATAGCTATTTGGTCAATTTAGTCCCCGTATTTTTAATTTGGCCAATTTAGTTCTTGTGTTTATTTAAGGCATTCCATCCAATCTATGTTAAAAAATTCATAAAATTATTATAACCTATTATAGAAAAATATTTTTTAATTAAAATATAAACAAACCCGCCCTACCATCCGCCTTGTCCTTGATCCAAACCCTAACCCTATCCACACACACAGGCAACTTGATGAACCCGTCTCTAGATCCACCTTGACCCCCTTATCACTGCACAAGTTCCATCATTGTAGCCTCAAGAAAATTAACCCCAACCACCTCGCCTTTGAATGTGTAATCGAGAAACTGACTGCAATTGAAAGTGCCATATATTACCTTTTCTCTTTACTTAAATTTAAAATTACAAAAAAATGCACATCAATGAGAAATAACATATATAATAGATAAAACTTATAATCTAAAAAATTATTAAGGTTATGACATAGAAAAAGAGGGCGGGGTGTAAGAAAATTGGGAGAAGAGAGAACGTTAGGAAGGAGGTTGGGGAGTTGGGAGGAGAGTAATTTTTCTTTTAATTTTTAATTTTATTTCATTTTTAAATATTTTAAGTGAAATAGATAATTTTATAAATAAGTTTATAACAAATTTATGGATTTTTTAACAGAGATTGGATGGAATGTCCTTAATTGGTTAACGGAGATAAACACAATAACCAAATTGGCCAAATTAAAAATAAGAGACTAAAATAACCCAATGACCAGAACACATGAACTATTTTGACATTTAAGCCAAAATTAAAATATAGTATGGCCAACATTTTCCTAAAAAGCACGTTTTAATTAAATTTTCATAAATAGAAAGAAATCTAAGAAAAAGAAGAAAATAAATCAAATAAAAATGAAATAGAATCTAATTATGGGTTTTATGAGAAACGGTCATAAAATGTTGTGGCGCAAATTGTAAACTTATAATGGCAGGTTACTTTTTTTATTTTTAGATGACAATCAATTTAAACTTAAGGTTTTTGTTGGATAGCAATTTTTAGAAAAGAGCATAATTCATGTTGTTTTTAAAGAAAAGTACAATATTTTATTTATTGAAAAAAAGGATCACAAGTTGAGCTCAATTCTATTCATAAATAACTCAGTAAAGGGTTGCAAACTAGATCTAAAAATATTACAATAAAGCATCACTAATCAAAGTAATAAGTAGACTTCAAGCACTTGTTCGAACTGATCGAGAACCGGAATACAAATATCAATAAAACCATTAAACTTCTAGTTACACAAGGGTCGTGTGAGGAAAAAAAAAATCTCTAATCATATATTGGGATACGGAGTACGATGCCCATGGACACCGCCACGATTCCAAAACACTAAGTGAGCTAAACCCCAAAATCAAACGGTCCAGCCTTCATACATAAATCAAAGAAGGTATAATACCAAATTAAACGGTATTTAAAATTAAGCAACTCTCCTATAGAAAGCAATCAAACTACCGAACTCTCATAAATAGAGAAATCAAAACCAAGTGAAGTAAACCCCAAATCAAACGCTCCACCCTTAACACATAAATCAAAGAAGGTATAATACCAAATTAAATAGTAATTAAAATCAAGCAACTCTCCTATAGAAAGCAATCAAACTACCAAACTCTCATAAATAGAGAAATCAAAACCAAAATCCAAGACAATTCTTGAAAATTATTAGACAAAAACAAAATAAAATGGTAAAATCATATCGCCACTCCACTCTACATCCTCCAAACATTTGAGAGTCATATCACGGCACCAGCTAAACTCATAGTGTCATTCTGGCTAAAGCTAGCAATAGGGTGCTAATACAAGCTGAGCTCCAGGGTTTTAAGCTGCTCACCATCAATAGCGAAGCTACAGTGGGTACATTAGATGCACTTGACCCCAATAACTCAATTATTTCCCCTTTGATTTTGGTCTGCATCCCTATAATTAGTTTAGAAAAGTAATATTGTAGGTGATTTTAGTTTTTTTTTTCCTACCCGATCCACTCCCAAATAATAACTGAAGGTTGATTAGTGTGCCACTTGTCTTTAGGATCTATGTACACTTGTCATTTAGACAATAGTTGCTTAAATTGTAAGCTAAGATAGCTTATAAGAGAAGCTATCTGTAGAAAACTATAAATACCATTTGTAAAGCTTAATAGTCAGGTAATGAGAATATACTACAATTTCAAAGTTCTTTGCCTTCTCTCTCTAAAATTGTTCATCTCTCTTACTTAGATAAACCCTAATCTCAATGTAGTTATGATGGTATCATAGCCAATGATTCCTTTGTGGGGTTACTAATCTCTTGATTTGAGGTTTCTTTGGTCCACTACGAGAATTGCTGTGCGTATTCAAGTAATAAGTTCAAGATCTGGTGGTGGAAATTTGGGGGCATGCTGTTTTCTTTTCACGTCTGAGTAGGGTTGTTTTGATTCTTTGGTGTGTTATCTTCCGATTATCCAATTTTTCACTCTGATTGTTTTGTGATAAATTTTGCAATATAAAGGCCGATGCCATGCAATTCTGATTACTTGTGTTGCGATTGGTTATTATGATTAATCAGTTAAGGCCGATGCTATTTTTTTGTATATGATTTGCCAATCTGGGTTGTGAATTTTGGTAAAGACCAAAGTCAAATACCAAAATTAGGAAGCAGATATTTGTTGCTTGAAGGCCTATTACCATTTTTTGTTGCCTATGTTGTTCTAAGTTTCATCATGACTACTCCAGTGAAGATTGAGAGTGTTCTTGGCATGTTGACAATTCTCTTAAATGATTCCAACTATTCCCAATGGGCTTTTCAGTTTAAGTCTGTACTAAGAGGGTATAAGTTGTTTGATCATTTTGATGGAACTTTAGTCTGTCCACCTAAATTTGTTCTTAACACTGAGACTAGGGTCACTAAGGAAATCACTTATACTTTTCAAGAATGGGAAACTGTTGATTTAGCTCTTTTGAGTTTATTGATTGCCACTTTATTTGATGATGCGATTGAACATGTATTGGGATGTAAAACTACTAATGAGGCATGGTCTACACTGGAAGATAGATTTGCTACTATCTTTAAATCCATAATTAATATGCTTAAGATTGAATTTCAAAATTTGCAAAAAGGGGCAGATTATATTGATAAGTTTTTGTCCAAGTTAAAGTTTATAAAAGATCAGTTAATTGCTGTTGGGAAGTGTGTGTCTAACAATGATATGATCATTGTTGCTCTTGTTGGTCTTCCTCGTGAGTATGTTATTATTCGTACTGTTATTCTAGCTCAAGTGACAACCATTTCTTTAAAGGGATTTAGAGCTCCATTGTTGAATTTAGAGCTCAATTGTTGGTCTTCCTCATTATATGGCTGTTATGTTTGTCCAAGGGACTAATTCAAATAGTTACAATAGTCCAGGTTCTTCTTCCAATTCCAGTTCCCATGATGGTGTCTCTTCTGCCATTGTGGGTTATATAACTCCTGGACCATATTTTTCTACACCTTATATGCCTTCTCAACCTATACAACTACCTATGCCATCTCCTTTTCTTTCTTATGGTTATGGTTGTAGGTTTGTTGGTTAATCTCGCTCTAGCTATAATTCTAGTGCATCTTCTCAATGCAACATGCAACCTTCATTTTCTTAAGGCAATTTGCAATCTTCATTTTCTAATAGATCCAACTATGGCAACACTCAGATAGGTAATGGTGGTTACAAATCCAATTATAATCAAGGCAAAGGTTCTTATTGTGGGTATAAGTAAGGAAGTTGGTCTAGTAATACATATTCTAATTTTCATATGTAGCCTGAGTGTTAGATTTATCAAAGGCATGGTCACACTACACCCAATTGCTATTACAGGAATCCTACTTCTCTGTCTAACATTACAGAGTGTCAAATTTGTGGGAAACGTGGTCATATTGCACTAGAATGTTATCATAGGGCCAATTATGCATATAAGGCACTGCACTACCTGCTTCTCTAAATATTATGCAGGAATCTGTCTATCCACCATCGTCTTCTAAATATCAAGGGTATGCTTCCACTTCTTTTCCACCAGTCATAGCAATCCATGCTTCACCAGTATGATAACATTCTAGTGCAATATGACTGTTATGACTGCTATGTTTGCTCAAAATGTTGCTCCTTATCAAATTGGTGAAGCATGGATTCTTGACACTGGCGCCTCACATCATATGACCTCTGATGTTCATAATCTTAATCAAGTTGTTCCTTTTGAAGGCTTTGATAAGATCAAGATTGGGAATGGCCAAGGTTTGCCAATCAAACACATTGGTTCCACTGTGATTCATACTCATTCTCATGCACTTCAATTAAGTAAGGTGCTTCATGTTCCACAATTAGCTAATGACTTATTATCAGTTAAACAATTATGTAAAGATAATACTTGATGGTTTGTTTGTGATGATTCAATGTTTTTTGTGCAGGACAAGGTAACAAAAGAGATACTTTACAAAGGAAGGAGTAAGTAAAATGAGATATTTCGAATTCCTGTGCTCAAAAGTGGTCAGAATTCAGTACAAAAGTCATGTTCTTCAGCTTTTGTGGGTCAAGTCATCAAGTCTTCTTTGTGGCACCAGAGGTTGGGCCATCTTACTAATGAAGTATTGTCTGTTATGTTACATAGGTCTTAGATTAGTCATGTCAAGGATAGTCATTCTTAGATTTGTTCAGATTGTATAGATGGTAAAATGTTTAGACTTCCATTTTCTGATGAAGCTACTAGGAGTTTAGAACCTTTTGAAAAGATACATACTGATATATAGGCCCTTATCTTGTAAAATCCATTGAAAGATATCGGTACTATGTCATTTTTGTGGATGATAGTACCAAATTTGTATGGATTTTCCCCTTATGCAATAAATAAGATGTTTTTAGTATATTTTTGAAGTTTTATACTTTTGTTTCAGTTCATTTTGGTACTATGATTAAGTATTTGCAATATGATGGTGGAGGTGAATTTGTTAGCAAACAATTTGAAAAATTCTTGAATTCAAAAGGAGTAGTTCATAGGATTTCTTGTCCTTACACTCCATAACAAAATGGCTTTGTAGAAAGGAGAAATATGCACATTGTTGAGACAGCTATTACCTTACTATCAGTGGCAGGTTTGAGTCAAGCTTTTTGGTTTCATGCTTATGCTCATGCAATATACTTTATCAATAGAATGTCATCCAAGTCTTTACATATATAGTCACCTTACTTTATGTTATATCATAGATAACCTTCCTTAAGTCATTTGAAAGTATTTGGCTCTGCTGTTTATCCCTTATCCGAGACCTTACAACAATAATAAGCTTTAAGCTAGATCCAGTGTTTGCTTATTTCTGGGGTATGCCTTGGGTTATAAAGGTGTTATATGTTACCACATTCCTACCAAAAATGTCCATTTTATCCAGGCATGTAGTACATGATGAGACATGTTTTCTTGCCAGATTAAAGGTTGTTATTGTGCTAGAGACAGCCATCAATACATATACTAGGTTGTTAGTGACACCTGCAGTGTCTTCGACTTCCTCACTTCAATCTATCTCTTCAGATCCTTCACATGCTTCTGTCAACACAATAGCTCATTTTAATGCTACTCATTCACAATCTCATTCCTTGTTACTTGTCCAAGATTCATATCAACTCCAGGTACTCTTACCAATTGAATCATCCCTTACTTCATCTATCGTTGTATCTAATGCTTCTGAGATTAATGCATCACATATTCATCCAATGCAAACCAGATTAAGGTCTGGAATTATACCTCGGCAAGATTATTCTGCTTATGTATCGGATACCTAGTGCCTACCTCTTTTATTAAGTGTCTTTTGAATTTGCATCTTTGTTGATTAATGAACATAGGTTAGTTTCTTTGGATACACCTACTTAGCAACTATCACAGATGGTAATGAGCCAAAAACTTATAAAGTTGCCTCCAAAGATCTAGTTTGGTAGAAGGCTATGCAAGAGGAGTTTGATGCCTTAAAAACACAAGGTACTTGGGTTTTTGTTCCTCCTTCTATTGATCGATCTATTGTTGGTTGTAAATGGAATTATAAGGTCAAGAGGAACTCTTGTGGTACTATCTTTAGGCACAAAGCCCAATTGGTTGCTTAGGGCTTTACACAAGAACATGGACTTGATTATTCAGAGGCTTTTAGTCCTGTGGTTAGGCACTCCACTGTTAGACTTATTTTGGCTTTAGCTACTTTTCAGTGTTGGTCTCTTCGACAATTGGATATTAAAAATGCTTTTCTGCTTGTGAATTACAGGAGGAAATATATATGTAGCAGCTAAAATGGTTCATTGATCCACTTTATCCTAATTCTGTTTGTGAATTGGTTAAATCACTCTACGGGCTTAAACAAGCTCCAAGAGCATGGCATTCCAAATTTACAAAAGTTCTTCCTTCATTGAGATTTCAAGTTTCTTCTTCTGATGCTAGTCTATTTGTGAAAGATGGTGTTAATATTGTTATCTTCCTCTTGTACGTAGATGGTATTATTATTACTAGATCTGATGCATCTCAGGTTCAACATACAATTGATCAGCTTGGGGAGTTGTTTGATCTTAAAGACGTTGGAGCTCTTACTTATTTTCTTGGTCTTTATATCCAATATCGAGACAATGGTACTTTGTTTGTAAATCAAACCAAGTATGCCAAAGAGCTACTCAAGAAAGCAGGGATAGACATTTGTAAACCAGCTTCAACTTCTTCCAAACCTCATACTCAAGTTTGTACTACTGAAGGCCTTCCTTTGGAGGATCCAACTTTCTATAGAAGTTTTGTAGGTGTTCTTCAGTACCTTAGATTTACTAGGCCTGATATATCACATGTTGTCAATGTTGTTTGTCAGTATATGAGTCATCCTACTGAATCTCATTTGTTCTTGGTCAAGCGAATTCTCAGATATATCCAGGGTATATTACATTGTGGTATTAATTTTCAGCCTTCTCCTGATACACAATTGTCTGCCTACTCAGATTCCGATTGGGTAGCCAATATAAGTACACGACTATCTCAGACTAGTTATGTTGTGTTTTTTGGTCCCAATCCTATATCTTGGTAGTCTAAAAAGCAACCTTTAATTTCTAGAAGTTCCACTGAAGCTAAGTATAAAGCGTTGGCTCACTGTGCTGTAGATGTGAGTTGGCTCCAGAATATTTTAAGGGATTTGCATGACTTTGTTCCTTCTCCTCCTCTTATTCATTGTAATAATATATCTTCCCTTGTGCTTAGTATGAATCATGTCTTTCATTCCCGTATAAAGCATCTAGACATTGACTTCCATTTTGTTCGTGAGAAAGTTCAAAATGGGGATCTACAGGTTCAGTACATTTAGCAGCTTGTAGATTTGTTCGACATTATTCCAATCTTGATCTTGGTATCTCAAGTTAAGCTTGAGGGGGTTAATAACTCAAGGTTGATTAGTGTGCCACTTGTCTTTAGGATCTATGTACACTTGTCATTTAGACAATGGTTGCTTAAATTGTAAGTTAAGTTAGCTTATGAGAGAAGCTATATGTTGAAAACTATAAATACCATTTGTAAAGCTTAATAGTCCGTTAATGAGAATATACTACAATTTTAGAGTTCTTTGATTTCTCTCTCTAAAATTGTTCATCTCTTTTACTTAGATAAACCCTAATCTCAGTGTAGTTATGACCAGATAGATCATCTCATGCCGATCTCCCCTTTATAGAAACAACTATTTCTTCCTTCTATTTTCTTCTTTGATTTTTCTGTCTTTCTTCTTCTCAAGCTCCAAATAAATTCTCAATTAAACACAATACATAAGCTAATCCTTTATAATTTATTTGAGCCTAGTGTTATTTTCATTTGAATATTCTAAGAACTAAGTAAGAGTGTACAACTTGCTACCTATTCTTCATTGAGATTGTGAAAATCACTTTCCACCTTCGACGAAAGATCTCCTCTATTCTTCTTTGCCGTGTGTTTAACTCATGATCTTGGTGTATAAAAAGACTTTCTTTTGGAATATTTATATGACATTCTTGAAATATGAGAACATATGATGCACATAAAAATGGAAGTACAATCAATTTTTGGCCACTTATTTATTATGACTCGGCCTATTGTTATAAAATTCTGACTGTGCCATTGCTCATTGTATGATGATATCCCTATTTATCAGACCATTTAAACTGCTATCTATTCATCTTGCGATTCCTCCACTCGCATACCGAATGTTGCTGTTAAGTTAGCTCAACCACTTTACCATCAAATTGTATATGTACATACACTACTAGAAATTTCCACTTTGCCGACAAAATTAGTTTGTCGGCAAAAGTCAAAATTCGTCGGCAAAGAGCCTTCCCCAACAAAAAATTTTGTCGGCAATTTTGTCGCTAAAAGCATGTCGCGCAAGATCTTTCTCGACGAATCTTAATATTTCGTTGGCTCATTTTTAAGGCGACAAATCTCAGCCGTCAAACTGTGCCCGTCACCAAACCAACATTGCGACAAAATATTTTGTCAGCACAGGTTGTTTTTTCACGATGAAGTTATTTGTCGGCTTAGTGATCTTGTCGCGACAAAACATTTTGTCGGCTAAGTAATCTTGTCGCGACAAAATGGTTTTTCGGCTACGTAGTCCTATGCCAACAAATTGGTTTGTTGGCTCAAATCACTTGTGTAGACAAAATAATTTGTTGGTTGAATCTTTTGTGAACAAAAACATTTGTCGGCTAATTGTTTTTGTGCCGACAAAACATGTCAAGTCCAATATTTTCTAATTTTTATTCACATTTGGTTTTAATAATATTTTTAACCATCACAAACAAGCAAGCTTAAGAGATCGAGAAGGGGCATGAATGAAGAATTAATGTAGGAACAACACAAAATTCATGTAATTTAAAATAATGTAAGGTTCACAATTCGGTTTAGTTACAAAATACAAAAAAATCTATATTTTCATTTTGACATTACTATAATATAGATAAAATATCCTTAAGTGTCACCATTCTCACTATAGTCCTCATCACGGTGATATTCAGCATCATGAAATTGGGAAACGATTAGGATCATCATGAAACATTCCAGTATCAAACAACTGTAGAAGAAAAACAAATTAAAAAAAAACTTGATTAGCAAACTTTAAGGGTGCTAAATATCATTGACACTAAGGAAATGCAAGGCCACACTAGAATGGTATTTCTAAACAAATAACTTATGAAACCATAAATGTGTAAACAACAAGATAAAGATATCTACTAATCAAGTTAACTTACCAACACCATGCAGCATCACAACCTAGAAAAATTACATGTTTAATAGATACCAGGTAATAATCAAGTTAGCATCAACTACTTATACGTAATTCATCACTGTAAACAACAAGATAAACATAACAGCAAGGCAACATGATTCTCACACTCGATAAACAAGGCAACATGATAAGTAGATGATATAAATCCTTGAAAGGTCTATAATGTATATAAACATAACACTACCAACCTAGCTAAGTAGTTTATAACTCTAGAACATAAGCATATGCACCTGGAAACATAAATAAACGATACTAAAGCACCCTAATTCATCACTGTTTATAATCTTTATCAGTGTAAACAAGAAGATATAGACATCTACTAATCAAGTTAATCCTCAAATATCAAAATTACCTGGCATGAATGATCCTCACACTGGTCTCCATGCCGTGCTGATACCAGTTGTAAGCTATCTAGCTCAGAAGTCCACTTAGCCATAGACAACCTGCAAGTGTTACAGAAAGGAAAAACAAATATGTCAAACCTAAACCACAATATCGAGTAATTACATTGGAAATCTGGAATTAAAGTCAAGGGACATTGTTTTTACCAATATTATACAAATGGATGCCCAAATCAACCAAAAATTGGAAACCTAGATCATAAAACTCGAACCCAAATGAAATAGTTCAATTAAGAACATGTTTTTCATCCATATATGCGATTCAATCAAAGCAAATACAATTATTTCATTTTGCAATAAAAACATGGAAAACAAATACAAAAACAAACAAACAAACACGTTAGCAAACTAATGTGATAAGGAAAATGCATATACAAAATGACGAAATTATTTAGACAAAAACACAATGAAATCCCATTTAAATATTCCCTACTCACTCGATTCGGATTTCGTATCCATTCCCTGTCCATGGCATATAAAGTATCTACTCCCTGTTTACAAATTTAATTTTACATGCAACATTCATTGGGACCAGCAATCAAACAATGAATAAGATAGGCTGAGGGTGACGGTGTAACAACATACCTTACCAAAGAAAACAGCTAGCCTAGAATATAATCAGATTCTTCAGTATATAAGCCCAAACTTGTAACTGCCCTCTGTATAGGAAAATTGAACAAATTTAGAGAGAATTAGAAGGGGAAGAACCCACAATATACTCGCAAAAGAACACAGTAAAAAAATTGAATGGAAGGTAAAACAATTACAGATGAGAATTAGAAGAGGAAGAACCCACAATATACTCGCAAAAGAATCGAAAAAGAAAATTGAAAACCCTAAGAGAATTAGACAGAAAACTGATGGGTTTATCCATCAGAAACGTAAATTGAAGATAACAATTAGGAGGGAAAAACCTTTTTTAGGCTTTGACTTTGACGATGGTTTCGATTTCCATCGGAAGGAGGCTGTCGGTCTGTCTATTTGCAGCAACGGAGATGGAGGTGGAGAAGGAGATGGAGGTGGAGCGGGAGAGGAAGAGGGAGAAGGGTGGGACGGAGAGAGATAACCGCTTCATGGACTAAATTCTTAATTTTTTTTTTTCAACTCCGCGCGCCGCCTTTTAACTTGTTAAATAGTGTTTCTTAAAGTTTAGAATTGTGAGTGACATGCTATGCTTGGTACATTCAAATAGCACTGGCTAGCAATTTGTGCAATTAAATTTTGTCTCGTACTGATTCCTAATTTTAATAGAGGGTTCTTATTCAAATTTTTTTGTTATGTATAATCTTTAGTAGTTATGTGCTTTGACCCTAACAATTATCTTTACAAATCATTCATATCATACATACCATTAAATTTCGTAAGTGTTATACATACAAAATAAATAAATTTAAATCTACATAATAAATAAATATATATATATATATATATATATATATGTACACACACCATTGAACTTGATAGGATACAAATTCTACGAAACTAATTTGAATGATCCAGCCGTCAAACTTGTTTGTATATCCATCGAGATCGCATCACCAAAAAATCGCAAAAAAAAAAAAAAAAAAAAAAAAAAAAAAAAAAAAACCATTCAGAGATCAAGTAATGGGACAAAACTTTTCGACGGTTATCAATGAAAAATCACGAGTTAACGGTTATTTTAACTCCGATTTTGATGATTTTTTACAGCTACACTCCTTGACCCTATACGAGTACAATGAATGAACTCGATCTTCAATTTAAAATATTTACACTAGTGAATACCACAAATCGTATGTTATACTTAATGAAAGTATGAATAAACTCTTCAGTGTTAGTGAATCTATTATTTTGATGGGATACGTATTCTACGAAACTAATTTCAACGATCCAACCGTCAAACATGTTTGTATGTACTTCGAGATTACATAAGCCAAAAATTGCAAAAAACAAACATTCAGAGATCAAGTAATGTGACAAAACTTTTCGACGGTTATCAATGAAAAATCACGATTTAACGGTTATTTTAACTCCGATTTTGATGATTTTTTACAGCTACACTCATTGACCTTATACGAGTATAATGAATGAACTCGATCTTCGATTTAAAATATTTACACTAGTGAATACCACAAATCGTATGTTATACTTAATGAAAGTATGAATAAACTCTTCAGTATTAGTGAATCTATTATTTTGATGGGATACGCATTCTACGAAACTAGTTTCAACGATCCAACCGTCAAACATGTTTGTATATACTTCGAGATCACATACGCCAAAAATTGCAAAAAACAAACATTCAGAGATCAAGTAATGTGACAAAACTTTTCGACGGTCATCAATGAAAAATCACGATTTAACGGTTATTTTAACTCCGATTTTGATGATTTTTTACAGCTACACTCATTGACCCTATACGAGTATAATGAATGAACTCGATTTTTGATTTAAAATATTTACACTAGTGAATACCACAAATCGTATGTTACACTTAATGAAAGTATGAATAAACTCTTCAGTGTTAGTGAATCTATTATTTTGATGGGATACGCATTCTACGAAACTAGTTTCAACGATCCAACCGTCAAACATGTTTGTATATACTTCGAGATCACATAGGCCAAAAATTGCAAAAAACAAACATTCAGAGATCAAGTAATGTGACAAAACTTTTCGACGGTTATCAATGAAAAATCACGATTTAACGGTTATTTTAACTCCGATTTTGATGATTTTTTACAGCTACACTCATTGACCCTATACGAGTATAATGAATGAACTCGATCTTCGATTTAAAATATTTACACTAGTGAATACCATAAATCGTATGTTATACTTAATGAAAGTATGAATAAACTCTTCAGTGTTAGTGAATCTATTATTTTGATAGGATACGCATTCTACGAAACTAGTTTCAACGATCCAACCGTCAAACATGTTTGTATATACTTCGAGATCACATACGCCAAAAATTGCAAAAAACAAACATTCAGAGATCAAGTAATGTGACAACACTTTTCGACGATTATCAATGAAAAATCACGATTTAACGGTTATTTTAACTCCGATTTTGATGATTTTTTACAGCTACACTCATTGACCCTATACGAGTATAATGAATGAACTCGATCTTTGATTTAAAATATTTACACTAGTGAATACCACAAATCGTATGTTATACTTAATGAAAGTATTAATAAACTCTTAATTGTTAGTGAATCTATTATATCCTTGCCCATTTAATATTTTGTAATAGACTAGTAGTGTATGGATGTTTGTTTATTAGGCGCACAAATTTCATAATCTAAACCGTTCAATTCCATGAAAATCATCTAAAGATCATACATACGATAAATCATTTGAATCGAATATTGTTTAGTCATCCAAATGTATGAAACAAAGGAACAGTGTTGGTACCAAGTAACAGATTCATGATAAACCGTTCATTTATTTGATTCATATACATTATCTATGAGTAGGAAGATCCCTGCCAAAATATAACAGGATATTTTCAAGAATTTTTCGTTAGTTTTCCTTTTTTTTATTAAAGTGTAACAAGGTATGTTTATATCTTTCGCCGAAATATTAACCAAAAATTCATGTTTACATCTTCCGCCCACAATATTGCCGGTCTTTTTAAATTTCGAACATAAGAGCAACCTTATTAAGTAATAGAAGAAGCCACCACGTGAGCCGCTCGAATACAACTTCGAGAAGCTTATAAAACCACTACACACCTCATTTGACTTGGAACAATTGGCAGAGAGGATTGAAAGGTTTATAATTTATTCAATCATAACGGTACCAATCACCCAACCAAGTAGATTATAACTCAAGAGAACATAAGTAGATTAAATAAATCCATTAAAGGCCTATAATTTATTTAATCTGATGAATCATTTCGGGGGATATGGATGATATTGAATCAGCTGTTAGAGGAATATCCTCTGTGGGACTTCACAAGCTTATGCCACCAATTTGGATCGAATTGCTTTCGCCTAGTAGTAGTATTCTTGGCAAGCTAGCAATTTGATTTCGACAACTTCCGACATTTGGGATGGAGCATTTCATTAATAGACAAAAATAAATCATAACAGTACAAATCCAAATATAGCAGTACCAAATAAATCATAAGTTGATTATATAAATCCTGGAAAGGTCTACAATTTAAATAAACATAACAGTACCAATTAATCACCTAGCTAAGTAGATTAGAACATAAGCATACGTGCCTGAAAACATAAATAAACTATACTAAAGCATCCTTATTCATTCTCATTGTAGTTCTCATCATGAGCTACATGTTGATCAGGTTGTGTTTCCGGTGGTATTATCAACGATGGAGGTTCCCATCCAGGAACACGCGCTGCCAGGTCTATCATAGAGTGCTGCCATGTTTGCATCATAACAGCAAGAGTTTGTTCGGCTGCTGCACGAGCCGTATCAGATGCAAGTATTCGCTGATCTGCTGCTTCACGATAGAAATCGTTAAAATTATTTTTGAGCGGTAAAGACCCCGCCAAGGTTTTTCATAAATAAGAATCCTTATCAAACTGAAATGGGATGGCGCGAGAGAATAATATGGGGGGAAGTCGGGATTAGCATGCAGTTGGAGGGAGATCATGAGGCGACAAAATAGGATTAGCATGCGGGAGGGAGATCATGATGTGAACCGATTATGGGAGGGAGAACATGTGGCGGCAAAATAGGATTAGAAAATGGGAGGGAGATCATGATGTGAACCGATTATGGGAGGGAGAACATGTGGCGGCAAAATAGGATTAGAAAATGGGAGGGAGATCATGATGTGAACCGATTATGGGAGGGAGAACATGTGGCGGCAAAATAGGATTAGGAAATGGGAGGGAGATCATGCAATTGGGGGATGTAGGTTTGGATTGCCTTGGCAAATTTATAAGTTTGTTCTTATAATTATATGTTATGTTTTTATAATGGATGATTACATACAACCGTATTCAAATTTACAATTGTAATTGACTAATTGACTAATAATTGATCATAACCTAAACCAAGTTATCTGTTGCTAGAAAGTAGTTTGGAGTCAGAATTGATAAGAAGAACTTTTTCACTACTTGATCTAGATTTACAGTTTTACAACATACTTTTCACATGAGAATATTAGTTAGTTTGCATGGAATGTAGATGGAAGCGAACATAAAGATATTGGGTTAAGTTGCAAGACTAATACTATAAGGAATTTTTTATTTTTCCAAACACTCACATATTATGAAATCAAATTGTCAATATAGATTATTGATGGCATAAAACTACAATCCAGAAATATGAAATGCTAGATATCTCTTTATCTATGCTCCCGTCTGTATAGAGAAACAAGAAAGACAGAATGAGAGCATAAATAGTCGCCAAGAGCTTTGATTGCGTTCCCCGGAAAAAAATGGAAAGGTGCACTGGTGAAAACCTCTCACGTAGAGTTATTATTGCCTTGCCGATGACATACTTTATTGCCTCTTTAATCAATTTGCCGATGAAATACTTTGTAGCCTCACATCATCGGCTAATATTTCAATATAACGGGAAAAGATCCCGCCAAAGTTTACCCGTCAAAACAAAATTTGTCAGGGCATCAAATTTACGCCTACAAAATGATCGTCGGCTAACGTTCCTATTTTCTCGGCTAAGATTGGTGCTATAAATTGATTCTATCATGAGTATTTAGCCGACAAATTAAAATTTTCGTCGAGAAAGGACTCTTGTGCCGACAAAATTTTGCTTTGTCGGTTTATAATTTGTCGGCAAAATTATATTTTCTATTAGTGATAGAGGAGAGCACACTTTTAATGCTATGTTTTGATGATGGACAATCTCAAGGAATATATCGAAGTCAATTTAATAAGGGATGAATTACAAAATGAGGAGGGATTAGAGATGCACCATATGAATATTAATATTACAAAGGGCATGAGAAAAATATTTTTAATCTGTCTTATCTAACATTTTGTAATCTGTTGTTTATTAACCTCAATTTGTAATGGCTTGGAAATTCTTCACCCCAACATAACCTAAAAAAAGTTGGCGATCGCCTGCAGCAATATTGGTACATCTGCACCTCTTGCTATCCCCACTACTCCAAAGCAAAACCCCTTCCGGTACATGACAACAAATTTGCCCAGATCCAAGAGATTACAACCCATCGGAGACTTAAACGTAAAAATTTATGGCAGGAGTAAAAGATAACGAGCCTGTACCCATACCATTCTAGCAGCAATGGATGTTGAAGGTTACGAACTTAAGAAAGCAGCCAACCCTATTTCCAAGCATATCAAAAGCCTCCATGTTACGAAACCCCAACCACCAACAACAGGCGACTAAACATACGTTAAACTCTGCACATAAGTCCGAATGCACGTAGTCGATACATGAAAGAAAAAAAAAAAAAAAAAAAAAAAAAAACGTACGCCCAGACGAATTCCTTGCTGTCATGCATAGAAATTTGTATTTGAAAACTTAGCACAAAGATGAAATGAAAAAAGGGAAAAACGACAAAAGGGGGAGGAGTTTTTTCCCTTTTTGTTTGCTCTATGACATCCCACCTCATCCAAAAACTGGGAAAATGATTAATTTTTATTGAATATACAGAAATGCAAATCATCAATGCTCGTACACAGTATAGGAAGGTTCGAAAAATGCAGATTAAGTCCTCAATCGATTTCTATATCATTTCAAATCAAATTCTAGGGCAAGAAGAAAAACCATATGTCCTTTGGCCATGGCCAATCACGGAAGGGAATTAGTGGTGGGTGAGCCTTATTGTGATACATGGGTTCATGGAATTGATGAGTTTGAAGACAACGAACGAAGCATGCATTTTGTGATGTATATCAAGGCAACAATCAGACGCCACCAGCCTAGGGTTTCGGAGGAAGTGGAAGAAGAGGACGCAGCGATAGAAGAACACTTGAGCGTGACTGATGCCACAATGGAACTACAATTTGATCCAGAGAGTGACATGGGTCTTCTCATATCCAACACTCTTTCGGGCCTTCATATTCCTCTCCTGGCTCATCCACCCATAATAGCTGAAATATTGTACGAAGCCTACTCCTGGGCCCTGGAAAATGATACTTATTTTCCAGGTCGAGAGGTTTTTCATATGGGGGTGTACGTCGAAGTCAGTGTTTATGGGACATACTTGTCAGATATTGGGGACATCAACATGGACATAGAGGATGGTGGTGCTGAGCCTCAATTTGTACCGGCAAGTAAATCGTCCATTGAGGAGTTGGAGAGGACGACAGTCAATGCCACAACAATGTGTTCTATTTGCAGGGAGGAGATGATGGTTGGCTCAGAAGCAACTCGGATGCCGTGCTCACATCTTTACCATGGAGATTGTATTGTGGAGTGGCTGCAGAGAAGCAGGAATTGCCCGTTGTGTAGGTACTCCATGCCTGCTGATGGATGATGACAGAAATTATTGTCGTAATAATAAGTCGAATTTGATCTGTTTTGTTAATGATTAATCTGGTTATTGTTCTTCCCAATTTGCTATGCATTTTGGTCTTTTTGAACTTAATTATGTTTCAATGTTTGTGGTACAATAAAATTCTTGACTGCTGTGATGATAGAAAGACTGAGATTTTTATGAATATTGGGGTCGAATTTGTATGTTCATTAGTTAATTTAATTAAATAATTTTACTTCTATCACTTATCTACCATTTTGCATGCAAAAACCACTTCTGATACTACAATAGTACCAATTTAGCCCTAGCTAGTCCAGCCCTCCTCAAAGTGATTAGTTCCTATATATAATAGTTGTTTCTTTTAATGTTTAGATAGTGTCATTTTTATCAGTCAAAATGGTACAAGCGCCGCTATTTAGTATTAATGTCTAGTGGTATTCCTTTTCATTTGTAAGTGAAAGGTCTTAAGTTTGATCCTCATCAAAAGCAAATGCAAACCAAATTATTATGGCTAGCCCATTGTGAGGCTTATCCAACTCCCCACCTCTATGTAGATAATATCATATATATTAAAAAAATATATAGTAACAAACACCAACTGTAGAAGAAAGCAAACTTATTAGGGTTCAGTGGAGAATACGCCTCATGTGGTTGGAATCTACATGAAATTACTCTGATAACAAAAAATTGTAAAAGATACTTAACATTAAAACAAACATTGCAATCTTCAGAGACATAAAATAATAAAAAGAGATCGAGAAAATGAAGGGGGTAAGGAAGAAACGGGAAAGCAGATACGAGAAAGGAAAAAAAAAAAAAAAAAAACCATATGACTTGAAAATCCACAAATAGTTATTTACCGGTAAAAAGCATATATAATCAATCGTTTGTTCCAACCGCAAAAAGATTTAGGCAAGTTACATACATATGATGTACTTTAAACAAATTAAACAAAGTTAAGCGTTTAAATCTATGGCAACCGAACTTAAGTCAAATAAAGCTACTTAAACTTTAAGCCAATCATCATCAGAAACTTCGAGCTCATCTGAGCTTTCCTTCTGTTCATCATCAACCTTCTTTTCCAATTCAGTGCTGCCAGACTCCTTCTGTACATCATCAAGCTTCTTTTCCAACTCACTGCCGGCAGACTCCTGTACATCATCAAGCTTCTTTTCAAATTCATTGCTGGAAGACTCCTCCTGTACATCATCAAGCTTCTTTTCCAATTCATTGCTGGAAGACTCCTCCTGTACATCATCAAGCTTCTTTTCCAATTCATTGCTGGAAGACTCCTGTACATCAACAAGCTTCTTTTCCAATTCACTGTTGGCAGACTCCTGTACATCATCAAGCTTCTTTTCCAATTCACTGCCGGCAGACTTCTTCTGTACACCATCAAGCTTCTTTTCCAATTCACTGTTGGCAGACTGGAGCTTTTTCCGATAACTCTTCCGTTTCTAATCAATCACAAAAAATAAATAAGAAAAATAATTATAGGTTATGTAATGCGTATACGATCATGGTTCATGAATCGAAATGTTCCCAGTCACAAATAAAATAGGAAATTAATTAAACAAACCTTTCGTTCTTTGGCCAAAGACGCCGCCAACTCATCAGCCTTCTGTTGCTCTAAAACAACCGTCCCATTCTGAAAGAATAAAGCCAGTACATTAGCCCCACTATATAACTCTTTTAGTCCACAAAACTCCGATTAAATAATAGTTACAAATAAAACTACATTAATTAAGCTATACTTTGAGAATAAGAAAAGTACCATTTCGTGCAGTTGCATCTCCATCTGTGCAAGAGCTTTCATAAGATTTATCTTTTCAGTTTTAGTCTGTTCAACCTGAAACGTAAGCTCTAGCTTTTCAGCTCTAGTCTGCTCAAGCTCTTTCTGCTGACATTCATTACGCTCAAGCTCTCTCTCAAAATTAATTTCAAGCTCTTTGTTTAGATCAGCTTCCCCCTCTAGCTCAGCCATTTTCTTGGTAAGCTCTATGTTCTCAAGTTGCTTCTTCCTAAAAAGAAAGGCTCCATCTTTGTAAGCTTTATTTTTCTGCTCAAGCGCTATATTGAGGTTAATCTTTTCAGCTTGAATCTTCTCAAGCTCTTTCATAAGATCTTCATTTTGAGAATTACCGTCCTCAACCATTTTCTCAAGCTCTTTCTTCTGACTTTCACTTTGCTCCAACCTCTTCTGAAAATCATTCTCAAGCGTGATGAACCTATGTGATTTCTCCTCGCTCATTTTCGTCTGAAATTCAACAAGTCGGACAATTGTCCGGTGAAGAATTGTTAATCTAATCGAATATCAAGCCTCATGACTCATGATAATGTTCTACAGTTCTAGTTTATGGCAGAGACAAGTCATTATTTGAAGGGGTATTAGATTTTCATCCTCCAATAAAATTGTAGGTCCTGGATTAGGTCCGTTATTATGATCAATACTGGATGCATACAAAAATACACTTATGACCATAATCACAATCCTAATCCAACACTCAGGTTTAATGGAAAAAGAAATCATGCCTAAGGAATCTATTATTAATTTTAATCCCAAAATAGACTTGTGTAATTAAATTGATGTTAACTTGAGAAGAAAACGATACCAGCTCTTGCAGTTCCATCCCAAAACGTTCAAGGGATTTCTTAAGCTCGCCCTTTCCAGCTTCAGTTTGCCTAAGCTTTATCATAAGAGCTTCCTTTTCAGCATCCTTCTGTTCAATCACTTTCTCAAGCTCATTCTTCTGCATTCACCAAGCAAAACAACCTTCTTAATTAGGTATACTGTTTTGAATATAATGTTAAGATACAAATTGTAGGTCCTTTGATCAATTAGGTTATATGACACATATATACATATAAATATATGTGTATATAATACACACACACACAGTAGGTTGACCAAATATATGATTTCACAGATGCAATTCTAATTCTACTTAGATATTCACAATAGCATACACGATCAAAGAATCGAAATCAAAATCTAATATAGCACCCAAGTTAATTTAAAAGAAGAAAAAAAAATCTTAACCGGGGATGAAAAATAAAATTTACTATGATAACAATCTTAAAAAGATCAAAAACGTAAATTGGTTTAAAGTTGAGAAAAGAAGAATACCATTTGTTGCAGTTGGGTTTCATTCTCCTCAAGCTCTCCTTTAAGCTCTTTCTTTTGAGCTTCACTCTGTTCAATCTTTTTCTCAAGATCATTCTGATGCTCTTTGTTTTGATCAATCTCAGTCTGCAACTCAAGCACTTTCTTGTTAAGTGCCTTCTTGTCAGCCTTGATCTGCACAATCTCGTCTTCAAGAGCTTCCTTTTCAGCCTCAAGATCTTCCTTTTCAGCCTCAATTGCCTCGAGATCTTCCTTTTCAGCCTCAATTTTCTCAAGATCTTCCTCAAGACCTTCCTTTTCAGCCTGAAGAGCTTCCTTTTCAGCCTCAATCTCCTCAAGTTCTTCCCTAAGTTCTTCCTTCTGAGATTCGCTCTGCTCAAGCTTTTTCTCAAGATCGTTCTTAAGTTTTTTGTTTTGATCAGCCACATTTTGCAGCTCAAGCACTTTCATTCTAAGCTGTTTGTTCATCTTAGCTTCATTCTGCAGCTGAAGAACTTTTTCCCTAAGTGCCTCCTTATCAGCTTCAGTCTGCTCAAGATCTTTCTCTAATTCATCAATTTGAGCCTCTGTGTTATCCAGATGTTTGGTAAGATCTTTCTTTTCAGCATCCCGCAGCGCAATAATTATCATAAGCTCGACCTTACTGGCTTCCGTTTTCCCAAGCTTTTGCATAAGAGCTACCTTTTCAGCATCCTTCTGTTCAATCACTTTCCCAAGCTCATTCTTCTGCATTCACCAAGAAAAACAAGCTTCTTAATTGGGTATTTGTTTGAATATAATGTTAAACATAAAATTGTAGGTCCTTTGATTATGTATGTTATATGATACGTATATAAATAATAAATATACGTACATATACATATATGTAACACACACACACAGTAGGTTGACTAAAATGTATGCGATTTTTCAAGTACAATTTTAAACCTACTTAGATAATCACAATAGTATACCTGATCAAAGAATCAATATCTAATCAAGACCAAAAAACGTAAATTGGTTTAAAGTTGAGAAAAAGAAGAATACCGTGTGTTGCAGTTGCACCTCACTCTCCTCGAGCTCTTCTTTAAGCTCTTTCTTCTGAGCTTCACACTGTTCAATCATTTTCTCAAGATCAATCTGGTGCTCTTTGTTTTGATCAACCTCACTCTGCAAATCAAGCACTTTCTTGTTAAATGCCTTCTTATCAACCTCGATCTGCGCAAGCTCGTCTTCAAGAGCTTCCTTTTCAGCCTCAAGATCTTCCTTTTCAGTCTTGATTTTCTCGAGAGCTTCCTCAAGCTCTTCCATTTCAGCCTCATTTATGTCGAGAATTTCCTCAAGCTCTTCCTTTTTATCCTTAATCTTCTGAAGTTCTTCACTAAGCTCTTTCTTCCGAGATTCGCTCTGCTCAAGCTTTTTCTCAAGATCGTTCTTCAGTTTTTTGTTTTGATCAGCTACATTTTGCAGCTCAAGCACTTTCATGCTAAGCTGTTTGTTTATTTTAGCTTCATTCTGTAGTCCAAGAAGTTTTTTCTTAAGTGTCTCCTTATCAGCTTCAGTCTGCGCAAGATGTTTCTCGAGTTCATTAATTTGATCCTCTGTTATCTCGAGATGTTTGGCAAGCTCTTTGTTTTCAGCATCACGCTGCACAATAATTTTCTTCAGTTCCACCGTCTGTTGAGCTTCAAACTTCTCAATTTTCTCAAGCTTTTTCAAGTTCTGCTGGTCTTTAAAGTACACTATTGACAACATAACATGAAAAACAAAATAAGCTAATTATTTTTCCTGCCCTTTTCAAAGGCAAAGACAACATGGGTAATCAGAAACCTAATTACTTAAGAAAATGTTACTCACCAAAGTCCATATCTGCCGGACTGCAATACGTCTTCAATCCTACAAAGCAGAAGAAATTGAAACAGTCCAAATAATGAAACCACTTACACCAGTTGTTGATATATACAAGCACATATATGTATGCTTTTATGCAAACATAGATGCATTCATACTAAAAATTACTGCATATCATGTAAATGGTACTTCACCAAAATCTGAGAATTAAACAACTGGGTTTAAAATGTAATACGTATTTAATTATGTATTATATGTAGTATCAAACAGAATACACTTGAGACAGATATGCCCCAGAAGAACTCCTGGTTAGAGAGACTAACTTAATGTCACACCTACATCATCATTGTGGCATTCCGGGCCAATCATATAATGTTACGTGGGAAAAGACTAAAACATGACATTGTATTATTGGCATGAGACACCATGATGACAGCGTACCCATGCCATAATAGGCATTCTCCTGCTTGGTGCTCGTTTTATGCCCCTACCAAATCATGATGAAACTTAATGCAAACAACGGCAATAACTCTTTAAATCATACGATTTCTCAACATGGAAAAAGTTTAACATCTACTGAAGATCATTATTCATAACTCGTACATAAAAAAGCTATATCAGGTAAAATAGCAAAATCCCATACAAGTGGAAGGTGTCTCTCAATCCATCCTTCATATTCCCAGTAACACTAGGGAAAGAAAGATTAATTATAATATCACAGATTTATACTTTAAAAGAAACACTGAAAAACCTCGTCCATTAGATAGCTAGGGTTTCTCGCTAGGGTTACAGGACCAGACAAACGGAGGTCCAGTGGGTTTAAAAAACTAGTCAAAGCAAAGTCAAGTTAGTTTCTGGTGGTAAGACATCAGTTTAATTTTAAACCATTCTCCTCCAGATTCAGTGATTTCAAATACGATAAAAACACATTCAAATATCAAATATCATAAAAAAAATAAAAAAGCATCCAGACTCACTGACTTGATGTCATTAAAAGTCTCAACTTCGACTCTCTGATTACGATTATCTCATGTTTCTCAACCCTAACAAGAACAAAAATTTGAATACCGAATTTATGGTAATCAAAATCAATTAGAAAAGAAACGTGATGTATTTGGCTAGCATACCACTCAACATGAAATATATGTATGCTATCTGCATAAAAATAAAGACTACGGTATATATAAGAACTTATGCGTGTAGGATAACTAAAGGGAATTCAGCACTCACAGTAACAAGAAGAGCCAATTAACCTTGGGCTTCGTCCTTCTTCAAGGTCGAAGAGAGAGAGCTAGGGTTTTGGGTGTGTTTTCTCTCATGCGCGAACCCTATATATAAAGATACAGGTCTCCTTTTTGTGTTCGACTTCTACATAACTTGGGAAAAGGATTTTGTATCCGAGCTAACTACAACAAAAAATAATATCCCCTTAAATAAATAAATAACCAAAATTAAAATCCTAGTCAACTATTTTGGCAAGTGACAATTTTATCCTTACTTTTTACACCCACGTTGTTTCTGAAACCGCCACTACTACAAAATTGGCTTATTGTGTCGGTTAGTAGTGGCAATTTTATATTGTTACTGTTGGATAAAATGTTTTCAGACAACAAAAAGTGTCAGAAAATAAAGTATTAATGTCGGTTATATCCAACAAGAATAATGAAGTGGGCCCTTAACTCAATTAGATACATCTTTTAAATAATTTTAACCAATTCTGGGGAATATATCCGACATGAGTAAGTAATGTGTCAAATCTGTCAATTATTTTTGAATTTTTTATACTAACTTTGGCGGTTATAACCGATACAAATATTTTCAAACTTTTTTATACTAATTCTGACAGTTATATCTGACACAAATTGTGTCAAAATATTATATTATGTTTTTAAAACCATTACTTTTGATTAAACTTTCTTAAAAAATATTATATTAAACAAATAGTGATTTTATTGTTTATAATCGTCGAAATTTTGGGTCCTGTTACCTAATCTCTGAATTTTTTTTTTTTTTTTTTTGTGATTTTTTACACATGCTATCTCCGAGTATATACAAACATATTTGACGGTTGGATCGTTGAAACTAGTTTCGTAGAATGCATATCTTATCAAATTGATAGACTTAACAAACATTAAAGAGTTACTATTATACTTCCATTAAGTATAAAATAAGATTTATCCACTAGTGTAAATATTTTAAATTGAAGATCGAATTCATTCATTGCATTCTTATAGGGTCGAGGAGTGTAGCTGTAAAAAATCATCAAAATCGGAGTTAAAATAACTGTTAAATTGTGATTTTTCGTTTATAATCATCGAAAACTTTTGTTCTGTTACCTAATCTCTGAATGTTTGTTTTTTGCGATTTTTTACCTATGCGATCTCGGAGTGTGTACAAACAAGTTTGATGATTGGATCATTGAAAAACGCTTCGTAGAAAGCGTATCGCGCATCAAAATAGTAGATTAAACAAACAGTTAGAGTTAATGTTATACTTCCCCATCAAGTATAAAATAAGATTTTATCCACTAGTGTAAATATTTTAAATTGAAGATTGAATTCATTTAATGCATTCTTATAGGGTCGAAGTGTGTAGCTGTAAAAAATCATCAAAATCGAAGCTAAAATAACCGTTAAATTGTGATTTTTCGTTTATAACCGTTGAAATTTTTTGTCTTGTTACCTAATCTCTGAATGTTTGTTTTTTTTTTTTTTTGTCATTTTTTACATATGCAGTCTTGGAGTATGTACAAACAAGTTTGATGGTTAGATCGTTGAAAAAAGTTTCGTAGAGTGTGTATCGCGTCAAAACGGTAGATTAAATAAACACTTAAGAGTTAATGTTATACTTCCATTAAGTATAAAATAAGATTTTGTGGTATCACTAGTGTAAATATTTTAAATTGAAGATCAAATTTATTAATTGCATTCTTATAGGGTCGAGGAGTGTAGTTGTAAAAAATCATTAAAATCAAACCTAAAATAACCTTTAAATTGTGATTTTTCGTTTATAACCGTTGAAAACTTTTGTTCCGTTACGTAATCTCTGAATGTTTGTATTTTATGATTTTTTATGTATGCAATCTCGGAGTGTGTACAAATAAGTTTGATGGTTGGATCGTTGAAAAAAGTTTTGTAGAATGCATATCGCGTCAAAACAGTAGATTAAACAAACACTTAGAGTTAATATATATATATATGAATATATGTTTTATTTTTAGTATTATTTATTCAATTATTAGTTTTGTTTATGTTTATTTAAATTGTCCTTTTTATATATTTTTTATTATTAATATATTTGATGTCGGTTTTATCCGACAGAGAATGCTCTTATTTATTCATTATTAATAAATTCTCTGTCGGTTATATCCGACACAAGTTCCGTCGGTTTTAGAGTATTTTTTGTCAGAAAATTCATTTCCTGACGCTGGCAATTCTGTCGCTTATTATATCCGCCACTGCATCCATTTTCTATCGGATTTTGCTTAATATCCGACAGTAATATAAGTTTCTTGTCGGTTATCATAGCGACACTAATAAATGATTTCTTAGTAATGCACCCTTAGTTTCAAAACCCAACTTAATCAAACTTAAAAATATAAAATAAAACCCTAACCAGTCCATCATCTCTATCGGGCAAAGCTCCTTCTCTGTCTTTAAACCTCCTTCCCATCTCCCATGGATGTCATTGCTGCACCCTATCTACTCCTCCGTAGTCATCTAAACCTTTTCCCTTTCTTTTTCTTCATTATCTGACAGCTCTAAATTTCTAGAGCACCAATTAGCTTAATAATTGGTATGTGTTTAATCGATTGTTCAGTTTTTACATATTTATTTTAGACATGTAAAGAATTGATTTAGTTTATTTCGATTATGCTTCAATTTCTCTTCATTTATTTAAATTTTTAGCTCACGCAATTGAATTTGGGTTCAAGATTTTTCACCGATCCCGGATTTAGGACATGATAAAATGGTATTAGAGCTCACTTATTAGACACCCTTAGGATAAGGTTGTGATACCAATTAAGTAGTTGATGGGAATTGGAGCAGCTAAAGCCTTGATCTATACAACTTGGCTTTTTTGTGCTTTCCTTGTAGTATCGCTTTGAGTTCCTTAGTGTGAGATATTAGTACTCTAGTTATGGGTGGTATCATGGGTAGCTGGAAAGGTTGTCTTTTTGTTTCATTGGTTATTTTAAAAGGAAAACTAATGAAAAGAGTTTGAAAACTTTGAGTTTAACAATAAGGAAGTGAATAGTACTAAGATTGACTTTTTAGTGTAAAAATGTGGTTTTTCGTTAAAGTGAACAGTACCGGAAGCTTTTCGTTAAAGTTCCCTATTTTAAATCGAAATTTACTCGTACTTTTGTGATGTTTGTTATTTGTGATATAACCAATTAGTCGGAGTAAGAAATTCCCAATCATGATGTATGTTTTCATTGAATTGTTATGAAATTTACAGAGTTGGTTGCGAACTAAATGGTTTTCTGTTTTGTTCAAGCAGATGAGTAAGACTACTGAACTTATGTTTGCTTTGTTTTGGAAACTTCTTAAGTTGGAAATTGTTGTAAAGTTTTCAGTTAATTTTGTGTTGGAAGCAAGAGTCTCTTTTAGTTAGAGATTTAAAGCCGAAGTTTATATTACCGAAGTAGTCATTCGTGTTAATGTATATACTATGAACTTGTAAGAACGGTTTTGCAGAGATAACTTAGAGACAGACGAAAGCTCAAGATATTTTCTTGTACTGATTACTTGTGAAGAAGTTATTACATAAATGAAGTATTTATACAACTCACAAGATTCTAACAAACCAACTGCCTATCTATATTTCGACAAAGTGTCAACATCTTAAGTGTACAATTACTAATACACTATCTCTATCAATTCATTCAATCAAATTTTAAAGAAAAAACAAATTCACTTGTGACTTACTTGTACACGGAAAAGTAACGGTTAAGTGGAATTCACATTCCTACACGTGCATGGCATTATTGATGGTTATTCATTCCTATACAACTTAGGGTTGTATGATGAACCAATTGATTCTCATTCCTACATATATATCGTCTGGTTATGTGATGAGTCTACTGAACTTCATTCCTACACAACTTTTGGTTGTATGATGGGTTTAGTTGAACTCCATTCCTACACAATTGGTTGTGTGATGAGTTTGCCCAAGAATATCATTGGCCCACACAATTTCGGATTGTGTGATGAGTATATTAAATTTCATTCCTACACTGACTTCTGATTGTGTGATGAATTTATTGAACTCTATCCCTACACAATTGTTGGTTTTGTGATGGGTTCATTGAACTTCATTCCTATATAGCTTCAGGTTATCTGATGAGTAAGACGAAATCACAAATGACATGTGATGAGAATAAGAGATAAAAATAGCAGGTGGAGTGATGAGTCACAAAGCTGAATATTGTTGTGCCATGAAGCTAGGGATACAATTTGTAGTACTATTTCGTTTTAAAATTGGATTCACTCAAATCCCAATTAGTGGGTGTCGGGATTTGATTAGATTGGCCTTTAGTTACAAGTGTTTTTCCTGAAATTGTTGTTCGAACCAACTAGTGTCAGGAATGTGAGTTGAGCTTTGGGATTGAGCTTTGGTTTCGTGGTAATTGTGCGAATAAGTGGTTTTCGAAAATCATTTTGTTAGTACGGAAGAAAACTATTTTGTTCTAAATGCAAATTTTGTGTTTCATTTCAAAATTTTCATTTACTCGTTTCGAAAAAGAAAAAGATGTGATCTATGATTTTATTCGAACGTCAAGCTACTTTGTGTTATTACTAGAAAAGAAAATATATGTTTTGGTATATAGTTAATTATTTTCATTGCAACTCAGTAATACGGTCTAGTGGTATTCTTCTTCGCTCGGAATTGAGAGGTCTTAGATTGGAATCTCGTAGATGGCGAATTCGATTCCAAATTAGGCTACCCATTGTGTGGCTTGTGGAGCAAAAAATAATCAAGAAAAATATGGAGGTGACATATGGACTTTTGGGTTAAAAAGACAAAATTACCCTTGAAGCACACCGGGACTCCCACACGCATGCAACAAACAATAACAGCTCAATCGAGGTCAAAGGTGATCAAAATAGTATTCTTGTAAACCTTCTCATCACTACTCATCAAATCTTCACCCACAAGGTAACTCTCAAATATTCTTTTCAAATTGGGATTAATTACCTAAATGAATTAATTAATTATCTAATTAATTGATTAATTGCCTAAACTAATTGCAAGATTTTATTTCCATAATCTTGCAATCAATCGCACAAAACAACCAAATATGGCCGGTCCCAATTCTCCTAATAGGGTCGGTCACACCTCTATATATACCCT